ATGATGGCCAATAAGGGCACGGAACTTCGTATCCGAGCACCTGGCCAACACGCGACTTCAATTGAGTCACGAAACGGCATTCTCAGAGGCGTCCTCCACATGATTGAGGAAGAACTGAATAGACACAACATCCCTGTTGTATTCACTAGAGTATTGGCGGAAGGCATCTTCGTTACTAATGCTTTTACGTTTTATAACGGAGTATCGCCATACCAAGCACACACAGGACGTCAGCCCTCCTTTCTCCCTGATCTCGACACCCTTGACTTTCCCAAGGGACCCGAGACTTCAGGACACGAACGAGAACGTCGTGTGAGGGAAGTCAGCCTAGAAGCCATAACTCAGGCCACTGCTGTGGCCAAGACAAATCGGGCTCTTAGGGCTAAAACGACTCCTGATGGTGCTCGCCTTTACTCTGCAGGGGATTTGGTCGATTACCACCGACCCACTGCCACTAAGGACGATCATGGAGGCTGGAATGGCCCATTCCCGGTGATCCGCAATGTGCCTGAAAGAGGACATATTGTTGTCAAGGCCGGATCTCGTGAGGTAGTTGTGATGCATCCTGATGCTCGTCACACACTGTACATTGAATGTCTCCTCACACGAGAACTTGGCATGGATAATGTGGCCATGCAAGCCGTCCTTACATATGTGGCACACCTCGTTGCAGGGAAACCTGCCGAAGTTTTCGGCTATATCCCCGATTACAAGGGAAACCTCAATCTTTCAGACGACAGCAAGTTTCACCCGCGCGTACATTTAGCACTACACTATCTCGTGCGGAACTACTTCCGAGTAGAACATGTAGTAGCAGTTAGATTGGCCAAAAGTGTGTCAAGCCTTCCTGCAGTAAAGTACGCCACCGGGTCTACGCTGATCCACTATGACAACGATATCAGCCCGGCTTTCCACTACTACGAGTGTGTGGGCACCGGCCTAAACATTTCTCAGATCACTGGTAGCACTCATTCCAGACTTATTCAATGCTTGATTTCACGTGTCCCTTCCTCAGGATTTCACGACGACTTGGCAAAATATCAGCACTCAAGCAATACGTCTGGAGAACACGATTCGCCTGGAAACAGGCCTCCTCCAGACACCCCAGGTGCTTCATCGCCGAGTGAAGGTCGTCTGTCGACAATCTATGAGGAAAATGAGGAACATAATATCGAAGCTATGATGCTGGAAGAGTGGTACGACGAGCTACGTATGGACCTTCATCCTACGACGACTACCGACGATTATCTCTACTGCGTCCCAACAACCATGCTGCCCGACCAATGTGTTTTGGTTTCAGCATCTGTGGACGAAGAAGATATCGTATCATCGGACACGCTCGGAGACGAGCCTGAACCACGAGAGTCCTGTCTAATCTCTCTTTCTGCTCAACCACACCTGACGAGAGCTACTCTCTTGACAGTGATGAACATGGTCCTTACGTTGAGTTATGTTTTACACCAGAAATGTCAAAAGTAGTGTTGGATCAGACCCAACTTGTACAGCTCGACACCGATATGGTCGCAACGATGAGAGTTTATGGATCCTCTGCTGCTAAACGTGCTGTGGTCGTTAAAGAAGATGATCTACTGACCAAAGCCGACATAGCAGCACATCCAAAGGAGGTTAGTGAAGCTTTGTATACTGAACTCAAAATCTGGATTGATAACCGATGCTTGGAGATGTACGATTTATCCAAAGCTTCCAACATCATGACATCCAGGTATGTATACAAGTGGATGTTTGTAAGGGTGGGTACCGAGAACGTTAAAACCATTCGTCTCAGACTTGTTCTTCGCGGATTTATGGATACTGAGGCTTTTGATGTGGAAACATTCTCTTGAACCGCCCGAAGGCAATCCCAACGGCTCCTGGCAAGTGAGGCGGCATGCCATCCAGATTGGATTTTAGCATCCATGGATATCGACAAGGCGTTCCTCAAGGGTTTGACCTATGAGGAACTTGCCCATGCCACCGGCGAGGGAACTCGCATGGTCTGCTTCACTCTTCCACCGGGAAGCGCCCAGGTACTTCGTACACTACCCGGCTTTTCATCTTATGACGAAAGCCGACACTGCCTCAGATGCCTCAAACCAGGAACGGGTACAAAGGACGCTCCAAGAGCGTTCTCTCTCAAACTTCGTACAACCACACGAGCTATAGGCCTTGCACCGACCAGCTATGATCCTGAATTTGACTTCAGCCAAGATCTGCTAACGGCAAAACATGTCGATGATATTAACATGACAGGCCTGGAGAAAAAGATAGACGACTATGTACAGCGCGTCGAAAAGGTGTTTGGTAAATGCAAGCTCAACAAACACACATATACGAACTGCGCCGTTCGCTACACTAAGAATGATCAAGGGGATGTGATCATGGATCAGGACGAGTATATCAAACAACTACGTCCTATCACACACCCAGAACTTACAGGAGCGGCGGCCGATGCCAAAGCCACGAAACTCATTGCCGACATGTTCGTCAGCTTGCGAGGAGCCCTCGCCTATGCCCTCCTTACCCAAATCTGGCTCATGGTATACGTGGTCTCTCTCCAGAAAATTCAAGAGCCCACCAATCTGCAAGTCAGGTCTGAATGCTGCGACGCGAAAGCTGATCAGCAGCCCGAAACGCATCACCTTCCCTCGGATGAAGCCGACGAACGAAGTTGACATCCACAGCGATTCGGGGCATCGGAAGCTTACCGGGGAGGAGGATGATGAGACCAAGGGCTACGGTATACGCGGGGCTAATGTACTACGGCGAGGAAACTCGCCTCAAGGCAAGTCCGTCGTTCACCTCTGTGACGGACTATGCAAATCACACCGACTGCAGGTGAGGTCCAGCTATGCTGCGGAGGCACTCGCAGCTGCGCATAACCTCGATGAGTGTTACCCTACGCTCATCACTCCCCACGAGCTTAAGGCAGGAGCTCTGGCCCCACGACAACTACGAGATATGCGTGAAGTTGGAGGCCTAGCTATCAAAGTCTCTCTTACCATAGACGCCGAGTCCGTTTATAAATCATTATCAAGCAGGGATCTTAAGATACCGACAGAACGGACTCTGCTTGGACATATCAGTTGGATACGTGAGCTCATGGATATAGGTATAGTACATAACGTGCAGTGGTGTGTTACTAGGGATATGACCGCAGACGGGCATACAAAGGGAAGCATCGATCGGGAGCTGCTTCTGGAAGTGATGTCAGGCACTCAGTCATTCAAGTATGACGTGAAGCAGTTTGTTCCTTTTCGGGGTCCCGAGGACAGAAACAAACCCAAATCTAATCAATTTTAGTCTGTCCTTGTTGCCCCCGCGGTCCAATTTGCCAGCAAGGGCGCCTACTACAGAGGCGCCCTTCTAGTTGCTCGGAAACGAGCCTTACATTTCACGCCTGGCAGCGAGCCGGCTTTATATGACTCAGGCTCTCTGCCTTAATACCTATTTGCTCGGTGAGGTATGGCCCTTTTGGCTTACCTCTAGCTGAGCCGATAGCCCTTCATCGTTCGAAGGGGCTATCTTGTATTCGCGTGAAATGCTTTGCGAGGAAACTCGCCTTACAATCTGGTGTTAGGCCAGACCAGACTGTACACACTGTTTTCTTTATTGCAAACAGTTGTGCGCGCGGCTTTTGTAGAGCCTAACGGCTGCGCGGCTATGCTCTCCGTCTCCTCCCCTCCCGACTTTAAGGGTAGCTCTTTGGGAGATGTTACAGTATCGGGAGCATAGCCCGCGCGCCGTTGCCTTTGGCTCAAGGCACGCGCGCCCCATTTGCCCGGACACCGCGAGTGTTCGCTATGTGCTGGAAAGACCGATACATCGATCTTATGTTATCTTATCCGTCCATTCCTCTTACTGAACCACGTCAGTACGATACCGGACGCTATTTGCCATCCGATGTCTACGGGATCGGATGCTATTTGAGTTGCCAGGCTCACTTTCGACTGATGCGGGCAGCGACGCATACCTGTTGCTGGAAGTCCGCGGTGGGCCAAGGCCGCATGCATTCCAGGGCGATGTGGCTTGTTTCGGACGTTGCCTTTGCCACGTTCGCACTGTCCTTCATGCAGCACAAGGCGCTGGTTTCCTGGCCTTCAGCACATCATCAATGCCATGGTCTGGTTGCCGGAACAAGCTGGGGTCACGTGCCTCATAGCGCTCGACTCCAGGCTAGTCCGAGTATGAGCGAGAGCCAGGCTGCCGTTGTCGCGAGAGTGTGCGAAGCAGTCTCCGCATGAATGTGTATTTGGGCTCAACCGTGGCTCGCGACCATCCTGGGCTTTCTCAAGACCGTCGACCGCGTCCTGCCCTTAGATTCCTCACGGCGAGATTTCTCACCGAATGTGTTTATCCCAGGTTTACCACTACGGAAGTTTCTTCCCATGCAGCCACCTCGCCCGCCGGCCCGTTCTGCCCCCCCCCCCACGCCCACCAAACTGAGCTCGGGGCGGTCAAGGAAGGGTGATGATGAGGGCGGGTGGGTATCATGGCCGGGGCCATGCTATCTCCCAGATTTCACGGCCCCTTCTTCTCATGCCAGTACGTCCCCTGGCCCACCCTTCCCTGGTCCGCCCACATGCCTCGGCCCAAGACTTGCGACCCCCCCCCTTGAACGCGCCCCTCTTAGACCCACCCGACCAACCCAGGCGATCACCCCCCCACGCACCGCGAAGGACAACTCATTCCTGCAACCCCACGCGACCCCTCCCCGCTTATTCGGCACCAAAGCATGGGAGTCTTGTGTGCCCACGCAATTCCGACTTCAGAGTGCATGAGCGTCGATTAGCGTTTGGTAATCGATGATATGGCAACGATTTTGCGCCGATTAGCGTCGATAGACGTCGATGTGGCGTCGACGAGCGTCGATCTGCAAGAGCCAACAAGATGGTGTGGGAGGCCCCCATGATTTGCCACCGCACACGTAATGATCGGTTTGGAACTCTGTAGAAACAGCATCAGCACAGTCGGCCGCCCGCGGCGGCGATGCCCGCCCCCAGGCGCGAGGTGGTTAGGCACGTGGAGGCGTTCGGCATCGACGAGGACCGGGGCTATGGCCGTGGGGGCAGCAGTGGGCAGGAGGAGGGCGGGCAGGAGAGGGTGAGGAGGACGAGGAGGAGGAGGAGGAGGACCAGTGGAAACCCAAGAGCCATCAACGATGTCGGAGTCCCTCCAGGCTCCCTCTTCAGAGGCCCCACGACGGTTCCTTTCCATTGATGGAACTGCCTCGTTGGGAGACAACCGTGTGAAGACCCTGAAGCATGCCAAAACGATGTTCTCGGGATTCCAACGCCACGGATCAACCTAACTGTTGCGTCTTGACGATCCGGAGTCGTGCCAAAGCACCATTTTTAGGATTTCACAAAGAATCGACGTAACTGTTGCACCCGCATAATCTTGAACCCTTGCAAAACACCATGTCTGGCTCGTTGATGATGAGAACCCGTGAAACTCTTGAAATTACTGTAAACGAATGTGCGCGGCGCGAAGGCGAGAGCCACATTTTGAAAAGGAGCCGCCCTTAATCCGTGAAACTTCTGCAAACATTTAAAACGAATGTGCGCGGCGCTGAGGCGAGAGCCACATTTTGACAAGGAACCGCCCTCAATCCGTAAAGCTTTTGCAACGAATGTGCGCGGCGTTGAGGCGAGAGCCACATTTTGACAAGGAACCGCCCTCAATCCGTGAAACTTCTGCAAACATTTAAAACGAATGTGCGCGGCGCTGAGGCGAGAGTCACATTTTGAACAGGAACCGCCCTCAATCCGTGAAACTCTTGTAATTTGGTTTAAGGAGTGTGCGCGCGCCAAGGCGAGAGCCACATTTTGAAAACGACCCGCCCTCCATCTGTGAAGCTGTTGATCTCAGGCGAAACGCCCGTCCCGACCTGTCAATTTGCTCCGGGGTGCGACAGGGAGAAATTATGTATAAGGAAAAGGCATGGAGGAGAAGGAGAGCGAGGACGAGGACGAGGACGAGGACGAAGGAGGAAAATACGAACACAAGGGTAATGACGAAGAGGACGAGGAGGGCGAGGAGGACGGGGAGGGGGGGGGAGGATGCGGGGAGGATCGGGAGGGCAGAATGTGGATGGGGTACGAGGGAAAAGGGGGAGCGGGGGAAGGGGAGGATGGAAGGAGGGCTAGGGTGCTGGCTCGGCTGTCCTGGACCTTGCGTCGCCCGGCCACGCGTCGCTGCCTAGCTGGTGCAGAACTCGTTGTGCGAAAGAGGCGTCTGGAAGGACACGGGCCCCGACGTTCTGTTCCATGTCTTCGGGCTCTTGGGTGGCCACCCGCGGGCCCCAGGGCCGTCGACGAACGATTCAGGATGAAGAGCTGGTCCCAGGATGCGAGCAAAACGCACATGCAGCACGTACAGCACCGCGACAAATCACGGCTGGAATCCTCGACCCCATTTTCCTGCGGCGTTGCCCCTCGTGACTCTATGCAGCGCCCGGACGCCTGGGTTGGTTCCAGAGACAGGCCCCAGCCGACCCCTCCTCCTCCCCCTCCTCCTCCTCCTCCTCCTCCTCCTCCTCCTCCTCCTCCTCCTCCTCCTCCTCCTCCTCCTCCTCCAGGGCCTCCTCTGTCTCTGAGGGAGGAGGGAGGAGGGAGGAGGGAGGAGGGCGGAGGGCGGAGGGAGGAGGGAGGAGAGCTCGCCGCCCGGGGGGCCCCCCTGGCGGGCGCGGCCTCCGCGGGCGGCCGGGTCGGGCGGCGGCGGCCCCAGGAGATGTGCTGCAACCGGCAGATCAACGGCTTCTCCGCGGGCCAGAAGGCCGCCGCCGCTCCGCTGCCCGCGCGCCGTCCTCGCCGGCGTCCTCGTCGTCCTCGTCGTCCTCGTCGTCGTCGTCGTCCTCGTCGTTGTCCTCGTCGTCGTCGTCGTCGTCGCCGCCGCTTTTTGCGCTTTCCGGGGCCCTCCACGGGCCCCTGGGGCTGTCCAGAAGCGGGTCGGGGTGAAGAATGGGTCCTGAGGGAAGGCCCTTGGGGTGCCCCAAGGGCTTGTCGACTTTTCGCCAGTCGACTTGTGGGGATCGAGCCAGATGAATCCAGGTAAACGCAGATAAATCGAGATACATCTAGGTAAATCCAGGTAAATCCAGGTAAATCGAGATAAATTCGGATAAATCCAGATAGATCCAAAGATCTCCAGGGAAAGTTGGAGCAATTCGCGGCCCATCCAGCGCGAGTCGAAGGACGGCAGAAGTCGTCAGGCTTTTTAACGAGGGGTGTAGGACCCGCCGACCCGCTTCCCTCATGCAGAAGTTCCTTCGCCTGCGAATGGGGGCCAGTTTTCTAGGTGACAGAAAGATGTCGGGGCCGCATGCGCTTCATATAATTATGCTTTCGTGCATGTGAAATTCCACTTTTATATACACATACTTATATAATTACAGAGATATATACACCAGGCTTGACGCTCGTTGCGCTTCGTTTTGAAATCTTGGCGTGGTGCGCGAGTGCTTCGCGTGCAAATAGGTGCGTTTCGGTTGCATGGGGCAGGCTTCATCAAATTAAGCTTGAGCCTGCAGGATCGGATGATGAGAATGGTGACGATTGCGATGTGTAGGAGCGTGGGACTATGATGCTGATGATGATGCTGCTGATGATGATGCTGATGATGATGTTGGTGATGATGATGGTGATAGTGATGGTGATGATGATGATGATGATGAGGAGGAGGAGGAGGAGGAGGGGGAGGAGGAGGAGGAGGATGATGATGATGATGCTGATGATGATGATGATGATGATGGCGATGGTGGTGGTGAGGATGGGTATGATAATGATCATCATCATCATCATCATCATCATCATCATCATCATCATCATCATCATCATCATCATCATGGTTGGCGTCTGTGGGGATGAGAGGGCCTGGAAGTCTGTCGGAGGTGTGAGGTGCAGGGGGTGGAAAGGTGACGGGGATGGAAACAGAAGGCTTGAAAGCCTGTCGGAAGTGTTGGGTGCAGGGGGTTTGGAAGGTGACGGGAGGTTTCTTATGAGGTGGCCCTTTCAGGGGTGGATGGCAATAGTGGTACAGACGCAGTCGAGAAGGTCGTGGAGATGGATTGAGATGTGGGTCGAAAGGCATGGGGTGTAGAGGGTCGGGAACGCTGCCGGGGTCTCTAAGAAGGGGAGGCGATGCAACGTCTTGGGGGCTTCGTGACGGCTTCTTTGAGGCTTGCTAGGGGTCTCTGGGAATCCTTTTGGAGCTTCGCCGTGACCTTTCGGCGTGTGTTGGGGGCTTCGTGGGAGCCTCTTGGGCAATCTCTGGGGGGACATGGAGGGCTCGGGTGCTGGTCGGAGGTGTGAGGTGCAGGGGGTTGGGAAGGTAACGGGCGGCCTTTTGGGAGCGTCTTGGACGGAGTCGTGGGAGAGACAGAGGGCTTGAAAGCCTGTGGAGGTGTGGGGTGCAGGGGGTTGGGAAGGTGACGGAAGCGTTGTGATGAAGGGGGGCCTTTGAGGAGTGGATGGCAATAGTGGTACAGACGCCGTCGAGAAGGTCGTGGAGATGGATTGAGATGTGGGTCGAACGGCGCGGGGTGTAGGGGGTGGGGGAGGCGGTGGGGGGTCTCTCAGAGAGGGAGGTGAGGCAACGTTGCTAGGAGTGTCTGGGAGCCTTTGTGGGCTTCGTCGGGGCCTTTTGGCGTGTGTTTTGGGCCTCGTGGGAGTCTCTTGGGCAGCCTCTGGGGGAACATCAACGGCTCGGGTGCCGGTCGGATGTGTGAGGTGCAGGGGGTTGGGAAGGTGCGGGGCGGGCCTCGTGGGAGCGTCTTGGACGGAGTCGTGGGGGAGACGGAGGGCTTGAAAGCCTGTCGGAGGTGAGGGATGCAGGGGGTGTGGACGGTAGGGCGTGGGGTTTTGACATCCACGGCCACGACCCACCAAAGGGCAAAACCTCCGCCGGATGACTTAGCCATTTAGGCAGCACTGTCACGGGCCAAGCAGCACCAGGTGGAGGCCCCCGTCAGGTCTTCCCTATCTGCCCCCGCGGCCCGACTGGACGGGTGCTCGCGGCATGTGGGATCGGGGGATGCCTTCACGTGAGGGGGGCCTCAGCACCTGGGCTGTCGGGCAAAGGACGGGCGATCGGTCTGAGTCGTCACGTGACGACCAGGAATGAGAAGACGTGGCCGTCCAGACCATGCCAGAAAGACCCTCTGGCGCCCAGCGGGCGGCCTTTCCTCAGGCGGTGCAAACGCCTGGGGGGGAGGGAAAGGGGTTTCACCGCCCACCAAACCGCCCCAACCCAACCCGAAGGCCCGCCCCGATTTGCCCTCCATTTCCAGTGTGGGGGGGGGGCGGGGAACATTGAAAAAACATGTATGAAGCCCGTACCCCCCCCAACCCGAAATTCGGGTCGTCGGGTTGGGTTGGGGTGGTCTGGTAGGTAGTCAGGATTAGGAGCAGAACCGGGCGCAGCCGACCAGGACAGCGGCTGGCCGAGAAAGTCCTGTTCGAAACCCTCAGGATGAGCAGACTCACCCTTGGCAGCGGCGGCGGCAGGAGGTTCCACCAATCCAGGATCCGCTTGCAAACCAGAGGAAGCCGAAAGCCGAGGCGTCCTCCTCGGCCTCGAAACTCGACTCCCAAGGATCCGTAAGCCGCGGGCTGCAGCGCTCGGGAAGTCGTGCAAGGCGCATCCATCATCCCACCAAGCCCCAGCTCCACCCCCCGCTCCTCACGAGAGGCAGGCAAAGCCGCAGCAGGGGCAGCGGCCACTGGCAAGATGGCGCCAATGGGCAGACAAGTGGCCAGATCAACCGTGACCCCGGTCCTACGCGGATGGAGTCCTTTGTTGAGCTGACGCCAGTTCGCGCTTCTTTGCACCAGTGCCAGAGGCTCGCATTTCTTGCCCACCTTGCGATGCGCTCACCTGAGGTGTAGCACCCGCACCTCTGGCAAATACATGAGAACGATGCATCGCTGCAATCGATCAGCACGCATCGATGCCTTAGATTCCGGAAAGCCTGTGGCTGTACTCGAAGATGGCGGATGCATCTCCCAGCGGGCGGCTGGACCAGTGAGCGAGAGCTTCGAAGGCTGGTGGGGCATTGCCAACAAACTCGGTGAGGATTGCCGACAAGCGACCACTCGCGGCCAAGGACCTCCTCTCGACCCGCTCTAGGCTTTGGCACAAGCGGGACTTCGTCCATATTCGCGCGCGGCCAGAGGGGCATAATGCGGGCGGCCAGCTTCACAGCCGCTCTGGAAACAGCCACATGGTGCGCATCGCGCTGGTGGTCCTCCTCAGAGCCATCAGGATGCAGCCTCACTCCCAATTTCGCGGCCCTATCGGCCCAGTCATTACCTTTACGCCTGCGCAACTCGTCATCATCGAGAGACGGATCAAGATCTAAGTGGGCCCCACCTTGTCCACGCCAGGCACGGCGCCATCAGATAAGGCGTCTGCCTGCACTAGGCCCGAATACATGCGGCGATAAGAGTGTCGCTCAGGCCGCGGCAAAGACCACGGTTTGACGACATTCTGACAATCGCTTCTGAACCGAACAGGAGCAGGTGACAAATGCGCAGCCGTACACGCGGGGGGCCCAAATTCAGCAGCCTGGCTGGTCTGAGGATAGCTGGAGGAGGGAGGGGACATAGAGCACGGCGCGAAGATCCCCGCTGGGCGAGAGCTTAGCCGTCCCCCACCCCGCCCTCCACAGCTCCTGAATCGGCGACTTCACACACGAGCCATCTGGGACAACGCCCCCCACCAGCTCTCTGTCCCCGTCCGCGTGCATGGCGAAGCCACGAGCTATATCACCTGATGCTGCAGGATCAGCATCTACACTTACTCGAAACATCTGCGCTGCGAAGGCTTCGTCTTGTCCGAGGGTCGGGGCCACCAGTCGCCAGGGTGAGGCAATAATCCAGTTTCAAGCTAGAACCGTTCCAATGGCGGTAGGCCAGCCTTCCTCGCAAAGTCCAACGCTCTTTTTGGGGCCAGCTCTTGCCGCTCTGCCTCGCACGAAGCGCACGTCCACAGGCGGTGAAAAACGGTGTTGACTGGTTCTCGGCAACTATCGTCGATTTGATGTCTTGCTGCAAGTGCGTGAGATAGAGGCCATAGACCATTACAGCAAACGGTCCTAATGCAGCCCTTGTCCAGGGCCGAGTACTTCTTGGAACTCAAAACCTCCAAAACCACGTCGCTGCATAACCTGTTGTCCTGCGCGTAATTGGCCCCCCGCCTCACGCTCCAGAAGCCTGCGAGAAGACTCGCGGAGGACCTTTTTGAGAAGGGCTGGAGAGGTAAGGGTGAACGAATATGAGGCTCCCAGGTCGTCCACCACCCCGAACGGATGAGACATGGTCCAGTTGAGCTTGGTCAGGGTCAACCTCATGGCCTTCAGAGGGCCCCTCACCGTCCTCCAACTCGGGCAAGGCACGCTGAAGGCCTGGTTCCAGGAGCCCCGCTCACGCGCAAAGCGCAACATAGGAGCAGTCGCGCCAGACCACGTCGGATCTCCCTCGAAGCGCAGGAGGGACGAGGAGGTGGAGGAGGACGCGGAGGAGGAGGAGGAAGCGGAGACGGAGGAGGATGGACAGGAGGAGCAAGAGGATGCGGAGGAGGAGGTGGAGGAGGAGGAAGAAGAGGAGGATGATGGACAGGAGGAGGAGGTGGAGGAAGAGGAGGAGGAGGAGCAGGAGGAGGAGGAGGAGGAGCATGAGGAGGAGGAGGAGGAGGAGGAGGAGGAGGAGGAGGAGGAGGAGGAGGAGGAGGATGGACAGGAGGAGGAGGAGGAGGAGGATGAAGAAGAGGAAGAGGAAGTGGAGGTGGAGTTGGAGGAGGAGGAGGAGGTAGAGGAGGAGGAGGGGGAGGCGGAGGAGGAGGAGGAGGAGAAGAAGGAGGTGGAGGCGGAGCAGGAGGAGGAGGAGGAGAAGGAGACGAAAGAGGAGGAGGAGGAGGAGGAGGAGGAGGAGGCCGAGCAGGAGGAGGAGGAGGTGGAGGCCGAGGAGGAGGAGGAGGAGGCGGACCTCCCAAACGGCTTGGGTGCTCCTAAAGGTGCTCACGCCCCCCCCCCCTCCCGGACGGGCCCCAGACGGCGCTGCAGGTGATGCAGTTCAATACAAAGGTGTCCTCGCTGAGTGATACGCTCGACACGAAGTGCAAATAATGTATGGATGCTGTTGCTGCGCTTCGCGAAGAAGTTCAGGATGATGTGATTGGTAGCTCGTCCAGTTCCGCATCGGGTGCTTCTTCGTTGTTTTCTGGCTCAACACGCTGCCGTGGGCTCACTACGAGAGCTGCTTGGACCGCTAGCTGGATTGATGTATTGCCGCCGCCGCCGACTGACTCCACGAACCCGTGCCGCCGCTGGATTCGGACGTATCCACGCAAGGTGCTCGATGTCACCAGGTTGCAGGCTTGGACGGAAATTCTCAACGCGATGCCATCGACTCTTACTGCTGTGGCCGCCACCCCACACTTCCATCGTTCGTCGCAAAGTTTCTCGGTTGCTTGGGGGACCGACGAGTTGGTGAAACATTGTTTGAATTGGTTCGGGTCGGCGAACCTCACTTGGACGGACCCCAGGAAGATACATGTCCACCCTCAGAAGATCACGACGCTTCGCTTCCGTTGTGATTTACCGCATGAGCCCAGGACGCGCCAGAGGCATTTTGGACAGGCTTGGTCACGGATCATGACGCTGCTGAAGGCCAGCGGAAAATTGCAACCATCATATCGTCTCGGATCTTCGGGTTTTTCGAAACACATCACGGTGACCACGGACATGGATGTGTATGATTTGATCGTTTCAAACGGTGAAGGACGTTCGCATGCTGCACTTGATGACTGTGCGGAGTGGGGAATCTCGGATGCCAAGGTTAATACCATCGCCGGCCTACTGAACGCGAGCTGACATGAGGTCATCGGGATTGTCTGCGTTGATAGTGCAGATCTCTCTTCGTTTCGTTCCTCGTCTTCGGGTCACCCGTCTCCTTCGTCGCCTCTTCTCGTCCCTGCTCCTCTTGTTCGCTTTGTTCCCTCTGCTCGTCTGTCAGCCTGCATTTGGAATGCAGCCACACTTTTTGGAGCGGTGAGCGGAAATCCTTCGCTCAAGGCCAAAACCTTCTAGTACATTTCCCAGTTTTGCAGGGATGTTGGTTTTCCCTGTTAATTCAAACGCACGGGCATTCTTGGAGATTTAGACACGCTCTCTCTGTCGCCTCCTCCCTTCTCATAAGTTCTCGGGATCGCCCTGCGGTGGCAGTATACGTGGAGGTTTCCTGGTATGGTTTCACGCTCGTCTTCATGGGCTGTTCGGTTACATGCATGTAATGCATAAAATGAATGGAGTGTGTACTGCGGTTTCGATGAATGGTTCTTCTGGCTGTCTGAGTCTCTGTCCCGCCCTTCTTGGCCCACGTGTGACGGCCGCTGCGAGGAAGGAGTTTTTCGCGAGAGTGGCTGGATCGCTGGACGCAGTGCATGCCTCAGTTATCGCAGGTGGCGGTTGGCATTGCTGTGTTCCTGGGGAAACCCGACAACATGTGGACCCTCCTCTGGGCTCGACCCCGAGCGGGTCCTTGGCGACTGAATGTTGGAGGCTCTTTCGCCGCTTTACAGAGGTGGCCCAGGACAACAATGCGCATTGTTTGGCCAGGAACGGGACCCTTGTGAGCACTGCCAGGTCGGATCGCGTCTTTACTAGTTTGCCGCCGCCCGTGATTCTCGACTGCGCCCCTGCTGCTGGCGCTGAGTGGCAGCGGGCTGAGATGAGGAATGTCAGCGACCACGTGTGTGTCTATGCCTGTCTTCCCGTTCTTTCTCACAGTTTCAATCCCGTTATCTTTCGGTGGGTTTGCCGCCATTCTGAGTTCGGTCGTCTCGTGGAGGAACAGGTCGAGGAGCACTGTATTTCGGATGACCCCTACCCCGCAATTTCGGGAATGAAGTCCATCATGCATACTGTTTCGCAGAAGCTTCGTCTCGCCTCATGCGCCTCGAACTCGACGTGCGTTGGTCACAAAATTGCACAGTACACGCATAATGATCGAATGCGCCGTCGGGGAGACATCTCTCGGACGCAGTTGGCGGCGCTGAGTTCCCCTCGCCTGTCTTCTTTCATTGGCGAAGGCGGCCAGCTACTGCAATTGGATAGTTTTTTATAACTTCCTCGCCTTGCTGAGCAGAAGCGAGCTGGAAGAGGAACGAGTGGAACTCGTTCGTGATGAGTCTCTTCCTCGCCATTCCAGGACTGCTGGGCTTGCATGGATTGCCAGGTCGTCTCGGGCGCGGGCTCCCCGTCACAGGCAAGTGGTGCTCCGGGGCGTTGTGTGCTCTTCTGGCTGACCCTGCCAAATGTGTTGACCTCCTGAGATCCCATTGGGCCAGCGTTGCTCGCCTCTCTTCCCCTTCCCAACAGGACATGGGCATCCTTCGCCCCTGGATCGAAAGTGCCCCTCAGGACATAAGATGGGCCCTGGAGCCTGACCAGTATCAACTGATTAGTGGATCGCGTACGCGATTCTGGCCCAGGGTTGGATGAATCCCTTTCTCGGCGTGGATGTTTGGTGGCTCATTTGCCCGTCTCGCTCTCAACTCCCACTGTCTTGAGCCCGGGTGAGATCTTACCAGGGTGCAATGATGCCTTCCTTGCCTTTTTGCCGAAAGGCGCGCTGGAGGTAAACCTTGTCCGTGCGCCTGAGAACGCCCGTCTGCTGGCTCTCGGCGGCTGCGATTGCAAGATTATTGCAGCGCACTTGTCCAGCCTCTCAGTTATTATGCCCGCCGCGTGATAGATGGAGACCAGGGAGGTTTCGTGGGCGGCAGGTCGCTCGTCGATAATGCGCTCGCGCTCGACGGCCGCTATGCCCAGCCAGCGGCATGGGAGGACGCGCCCGCACCTGGCATGGCGTCTGACTATATTAAACAAGCGTTTTCCAGCATTTCTCATGATGGATGATGCATGTTCCCCAATTTATGCGTATTCCTGAATGGTATGTGTACATTACTATGAATTTGTATCGTGACGTCCATAAAAACGTTCGGGTTAAGGGCTCCATCTTCGGGAAGTTCAAGCTGTCTGGGGGCGTCGAGCAGGGGCGTCCGCTTCCTGGTCTTATTTCCGATCTGGCGGTCGATCCGTGGTTCCGAAAGACGAAGGCATAACCTCGTCGTTCTCCCGAGCCCCCCCCCCACGCGCACGCAGACGACCTTGGCATTGCGGCCAAGGGCCTCGCCAAAGCGCACGAGGTTATGACAGGCCACTTCGTCCAGTTAGCCCGCGCGGCTGGCCTTTTCGCGCGCGCGAGAAAATGCCAGTTTGCGTTGCCGACTGCTGGGGCCGAGGAATCCTTACGCGAGGATTGCCAGATGAGAAAATTAAAGGTTTCCGAGGCTAAGATTAGTCGGGCTGAGGTTTATCTCGAGACGTGCGAAATTTATTGCCAATCGGTGGCCCAGCATGTGGCGCAGTTTTTCGTGCCGCCCTCTTGTGCACGCGTGGAGCGCGAGGCGCCCCGGCAGCTCCCGATTGCGCCCAGACACAGATTCGCGTCCGAGATGTCGTGGGATCTCAAGTTGTTCGGCTTCTCTGTCGGTGCAAGAAGCATTTCTCATTGTGTCCGAGCTGCTCGATACCGCTCCGCGTTACATTCAGAGGAGTTCACCCCCGACTACCAGATCATCTTGCCAGGTTCGTTTATGATGATGGGTGTGTACTGTTCTGTTGTACTTCTCCCACCTACAGGTCATCTGAATTTATCCATCTGTTGAACGAATTTCTCGTGTTCGTGGAGACCCCGACGGCCCCAGCTAATCTCTGTAATGGCCTCCAGAGGAAGATCACGAAAGAGCTCCATCGTCTCTTTCCCACCTCCTCCCCGCTCCCTGCCCTCTGTGCCCGTCTCAACAACTGGTTCCCGACGTCCCGAGACAAGGCTCCTGTTTGTCAAATTCTGATCGCTTCAATTGCTCGCACGTGCCGCAGGGAATTCGGGCCCGCGCTCCGCCAGGTTGTCGATTTTTGCCCGTTTGCGCGCCGAGGCTATTCGCTCCTCGGCTCGCCGCGAGATCATCGTGCTCCGCGCTCTGGACAGGTAGGCCTCTGTGGGGCCATTCTTTCCCCCCTATCAAGTCGCGTCATGGCTCCTCCTCCTGTTCCTCCTCCTCCGCCTCCTCCACTTCCTAATCCTTCACAGATACACATACACGCTATGAAAACTACTTTCCTCTCTCCCCAGGTGGCGCCCGGGTAGGATTTGCCCCCCCTCCGCGTACTGTTGTTTTACACTGGTTTCCCGGACGTTTTGTGTTGAAACAGAGACACACATGTTGCCGTCGCCGAAGCGCTCGCCTCATTTTCGGGCTGCCCCTCATTCCAAATCGTGCTCCCACTGCAGCGCTGGCGCCACTGTTTCCGGCGCCATGCCGCGGCATGGTTGTCGGTCCTTCCAAAGGGGCCCCAACATTTAGAAAATGGTTTCCCGGTAAAAAAAAACATCGGGAGTTGTTCCACATTCGGCGTCGGTTCTTTGATTCTTAGGCTTACGCCACACCGCCGACCCCTTGTTTATGCCAATCTGGGGGTAGTAGAAGCTGCGAAGGGGTGAAAAGGCGAGTGATATTGTAGTGGCCTTCGGCCAGTGCCGCCGATCCGGGTCGCTCGGGGTTATTCTCCAGACGCAGAAATTATGGGCGCACACTCAAACGCACACACACAGTCACACCACTTAACCTGCGCCGCAGACATGCGCACACAGCATCACCCACACACACATACTAGTTGGGAAACGCTCCTGTAGTACTAGTAGTAGTAGTAGTAGTAGTAGTAGTAGTAGTAGTAGTAGCAGTAGTAGTAGTAGTAGTAGTAGTAGTAGTGGTAGTAGTAGTAGTAGTAGTGGTTGTGGTAGTAGTGGTAGTAGTAGTAGAGGCCTCGTTCCGCGGCTTCTCTCGACTTCCCGCGGTCTCTCTCAAGTTTCGAGCACGCGGTGAGTTTCACGATATATGTGTGTGTATGTACGCGTGCATGCATGTATGCATGCATTGATCATGTGTGCCTGTGTGTAGGTACGTATGTATGTATGTATGCTTGTGCGCGTATGTATGTATTTAGTTTGTATGTATGTTTGTATGTGTGTATGATAATATGTGTGTATGTGTGTGAATGTAAGTATGTATGTCTGGAAGATTGTTTTTCTATGTATGCAAATGTGTTTAAATGTAGGTATGTATGCATGTGTGTATGGATGTGCGTTTGAAGAGCGAGGATGTTTCAAAGAAGAGGCACTCGGTGACGCGATCGTTGAGGGATAGGAGTGAGGTCGCAGAGGAGGAGGAGGAGAATGAGGAAGAGGCGATAACTTGAAGGAAAACGATGAGACGGAGGACATCCTGCCGGTGGCGCCCTGGGCGGTGCCGCGGAAGAAACCGGGGGCCTGCCGGAGGCAGTCTGGAGGCCTCTGGGGAGCTGTTTTGGGGCCTCTTGGAACCTCTTTTGGGCCTCTTGTGGGCTTCTTGGGGCCCCTTGGGGGTCTCTTGGGGCCTCCTGGGGGCCTCTTGGGGCGGAAAGCTCGGTTCTTTCGGTTCGTGGTCCCCCTCTTGGGCCCCTCTTGGGGCTCTCTTGGGGCCTTCTTGGGCTGTCCAGAGGCCCTCTTGGGCCGTCTTGGGGCCCTCTTGGGCCGTCTTGGGGCTCTCTTGGGCCGTGTTGGAAGCATCGTGGGCCGTCTTGGGACGGACTTGGGGGCCTCTTGGGCCGTCTTCGAGCGTCGGACGCCCGAAAAGGCAAGAACGCTAAAAACCCTGAGAAAACCAATGAAAATCAACGATTCTGGCCTCTTGGGGCCCTCTTGGGAGGCCTCTTGGAAGCTTCTTGGGGCGTCTTGGAGACACCTTGGGCCGTCTGGAGGCCATCTCGGGCGTCTTGGAGCGATTTTTCGGCGACTCGGGGCCCTCTTGGAACCCCTTGGGGGTCTCTTGGGCCCCCCCCCTCCTCCAAAGCGCCGGAAAAAGCGGAGCATGGCGCCCCCCCCCCCCCTATCTTCCACTCCCCCGGAGCGGCCCCGGGGTTCGCCGGAAACTCGCACCCCCCCCCCCCCACCCCACCCCCCCTTCCCCGGCAGAGCCACCCCGGCGACCCCCCCAGAGGCTGAAGCTCAGCCTCGAGGCTGTAGCTGAGACTCCTTGAAACTCACACGCCGGATCGGCGGATTTGTTTGGTGTCTGTTCGCCGCCACCGCCAGAGGGTCTCGGGCAGTGCCGCGGGGAGGTCCGAGCGGACAGCGACACTGCGAGTCTTGGAGCCACTCGGGGGCCGTTTCGGAGCCTCTGGGGTGCTTCTTGGGGGTTCCTTGGGGCGTCTGGGCGGCCTCGTGAGGGCCTCTGGGGGCCTCTTGGGGCACTCTTGGGGCCCCCTGGGGCTCCTGGGGGCAGAAAGCTAGAGTTTCAACATGTTTGGTCGCCCTCTTGGGCCCCTCGTGGTGCCGTCTTGGAGCCCTCTTGGGCCGTCTTGGGGACCTCTTGGGCCGTGTTGGGGCCGTCTTGGGCCGTCTGGAGGCCGTCTTGGGGGCCTCTTGGGCCATCTTGGGGCTGTCTTTGGGGCCTCTTTGGCCGTCTTGGAGCGTCGGGAAGCCGAAAAGGCGGAAAAGCAAAACACATCGAAAAACACTATGGAAAATCAACAATTTTAGACTCTTGGGGCCCTCTTGGGAGGCTTGTTTGGGACCTCGGGGGCCGTCTTGGAGACCTCTTGGCCCGTCTTGGGGCCATCTTGGGCGTCTTGGAGGGGTCGTTTGGCGTCTCGGAGCCTTCGTGGGCCGTCTTGGAGGCCTCTTGGGGGCTTCTTGGCCCGTCTTGAGGCCCTCTTGGGCCCGGAAAAGCCCTGGAACCGCTCGTCCCGGCCGTGCTGCGCTCGTCCTGGCCCCCTCCCCGCCTCCAAATCGGCCCTCTTGGGCCGTCTTGAGGACCTCTTGGGCCGTCTTGGGGCCGTCCTGGGCCGTCTGGAGGCCGTCTTGGGGGCCTCTTGGGCCATCTTGGGGCTATCTTTGGGGCCTCGTCGCGCGTCTTGGAGCGTTGGGAAGCCGGAAAGGCGGAAAAGCAAAAAACGTCGAAGAACACTATGGAAAATCAACAATTTTAGACTCTTGGGGCCTTCTTGGGAGACTTGTATGGGACCTCGGGGGCCGCCTTGGAGACCTCTTGGCCCGTCTTGGGGCCATCTTGGGCGTCTTGGAGGCGTCGTTTGGCGTCTCGGAGCCTTCGTGGGCCGTCTTGGAGGCCTCTTGGAGCCTTCTTGGCCCGTCTTGAGGCCCTCTTGGGCCCGGAAAAGCTCTGGAACCGCTCGTCCCGGCCGTGCTGCGCTCGTCCCGGCCTTCTCACCCCCTCCAAATCGGCCCTCTTGGGCCGTCTTGGGGACCTCTTGGGCCGTCTTGGGGCCGTCTTGGGCCGTCTGGAGGCCGTCTTGGGGGCCTCTTGGGCCATCTTGGGGCTATCTTTGGGGCCTCTTTGCCCGTCTTGGAGCGTCGGGAAGCCGGAAAGGCGGAAAAGCAAAAAACATCGAAAAACACTCTGGAAAATCACCAATTTTTGACTCTTTGGGCCCTCTTGGGAGGCTCATTTGGGACCTCAGGGGCCGTCTTGGAGACCTCTTGGCCCGTCTTGGGGCCATCGTGGGCGTCTTGGAGCGGTCGTTTGGCTTCTCGGAGCCTTCGTGGGCCGTCTTGGAGGCCTCTTGGGGGCTTCGTGGCCCGTCTTGAAGCCCTCTTGGGCCAGGAAAAGCCCCGTGGAGCGCTCGTCCCGGACCCTTGGGCCAGGAAAAGCCCCGTGAACCGCTCGTCCCGGACCCCCCCCCCCCTCCAAATCGACCGGACCGGGCTCCCGGGGGAGGGGTTTGGGGAGGGGGAAGCATCTCACACGCCGATGATCCCCAAGGGGTCGGCGGATTTCTTGGGCCGCAACAGCTTCTCATGTTTTGGGGCACCGCCACGCCATGCCATGTCAGGCTACGCGTCCTCATTTCCGCGTTTTTTCTTGTTTCGAAATGCTGTTATCGCTGAAGCGCTGGCCCCATTTTCGGGCTACCGTTCGTTCCGTATCGTGTTCCCGCTGCAGCGTTGGCCTCATTTCCGCGTTTCCGCTCGTCCCGAATCGTGCTCCCACTTCAGCGTTGGCGTCCTTGTTTCCAGTGCCATGCCACGACATGGTATTCGGCCCTTCCAAACAGGCCCCACAATCTAAAACATTGCCTCCCGAAACATCCATCGGACGTGATCCCACATTCGGTGCCGATTCGTTTTTTCTCGGTGCCGCAGAAGCCCCCCCCCACTTTGGGGCGTCACCACGTCATGCTACGCCATGTTACGCGTCGATATTCAACACAATGCTATGCCATGTAATGTTTGCCATGTTGCGACATCCGATTGTGCGAGCAGAGAGGATGTATACGCCATGGTCAAGGGAGGTGTAGGACGTCATGTATGACGCGAACACAGCTAGCTTGTCCTTCTCCTCCTCCGGGCGCCTGGTTCCTAATGGTTGCATGGTCGTTAATGCTGGCACGGCGGTGTGCTCGATGAGGTTGACTCGGACAGGAGGACGAGGGTGTTCGAATTGGTCGAGGGGGTGTTCGATCGGTAACGACGCGACATCATCATCGCCAGGTCTGACACTGATACGACGCCATACCAGTTTGTGTTCGTGTACGTGGGTGGGCGCGTCGTACGTTTTCTGTTCGTCCCCTGGGTGACGGGCTCCAGTGTTTTGCTGGCTCGCCGAGGTCCGCCAGTGGATCAGTCTTGGCGTGCCTGGCCCGCACAATCGTTGATCAGGAGCAACACGGGGTCCGTATCGGAATACATTCGCAAACGTTCACTTCACATCCATTTGCCAATGCATCCCCCGATGATCCGAGTTGTCGGTGGTTTCAATGAGATGCATTTCGGCAAGTATTTTCAGCGCGTGCCAACCCTGAACTTGCGGGGAGAGGGGGAGTGACCACTAGCTGGCTGCCGTACTTTAGTCTTCGTTTGAAGTGGTTGAACCAAGCGCAGGTCCTCGGTCCGATCCACGGCTGCGCTGTTTGCCCTCACGCCAGCATCACCCGCGACCAGTTCCACGTTCTCGTGGTTTTCCGTCTGGCCTCCCATGGTTGTCGTTGTCGTTCTCCTCGTCGTTTTCGTCGTCGTCCTCCTGTCTTCTCGTCATCCCCATCGTGCGCGTCTTGCTCTGAACCCCTTGCCCACTCCTCATCCTCCCACTCATCCTGTGCTGCTCATCCCTCCTCCCGCCGCCTCCCTTTCATCCCTTCCCCCCTCCCCTCTCTCTCTGCCCCTTCCCTGCCCCCCACCCCCCTCCCCTGCCTCCATCCTCTCCCCCTTCTGCTCGCCAGCCTCCTTCCTGTCCTGCTCTTCCTCTCCACTTTGGTCATTTTGGCCCAAGCGCGCGCAGAGGCGCACGCAATCCACAGGCACTATCTTCCCGAGCCGTTGCAACAGCAGGCAACGCTCACGCGGATCCGGCTCTGGCTGCATTGAAAGCGGTCACGCCGCCATTTCGCAGCTCCGCGTGTTTCAATCCCAGGGGTCAGCATTGGCACATTCTGCCTCCCCCGTGCCCCGTCCCCCTCCTCTTCCCGTTCTCGTCTCCCCACTCCGAGGATGAAATTCTTGCGCTTTCCGTTAGTAGGAGCACCTTCTAGCCCACTGGAGCCTTACGGACGTTCCGAGCCCGTGCCTTTGAGGTCAAAGTTCGCTGTAGAAGGACGTGTGAGACACCCGCGCAGTTGGTGATCGTTGTTTTACATGTTTTTTGCAGATCGGCGCGGGCACCCAAAAACCTCCCCTCCCCCCCCCATGGAGTAGATCTTGGGTGTTTTTGGCGCCTGTTTCGAGCATGTGGGGTCTCCCCCATAGTGGGCGCACTGTTCCAAACAGCCGCACTAAGCAGAGGTCTGGAGCCAGACCCACCCCCCTCGCCCAATGTCGAAACGCCGAATAAAAAAAACGTTGACCTGTGCAGTACACGCAGAAAGATCCAGCCTGCATGCACCCCCGAGCGCAGAGCCTGGCCGAGCCGAGCTTGCAAGCTCCTCGGCCCGCCCCTCCGGCGCCCCCTCCCCGAACCCTCCGCGCCCTTCCCTGGCCTCCTCCTCCTCCTCCTCCTCATCCCTCCTCCCTCCCTCTTCCTCCCCCTCATCTCCCTCCTCCTCCCTCCTCCTCCTCCTCCTCATCTCCCTCCTCCAGGGCCTCCTCCCTCCTCCTCCCTCCCTCTTCCTCCTCCTCCCTCCTCCTCCTCCCCCCCTCCTCCTCCTCCTCCTCCCTCCTCCTCTTCCTCCTCCTCCGGCCCGCCCCTCCGGCGCCCCCTCCCCGAACCCTCCGCGCCCCTCTCTGGCCTCCTCCTCCCTCCTCCCTCCCTCCTCCCTCCTCCTCCTCCTCCTCCTCCTCCTCCTCCTCCTCCTCCTCCTCCTCCTCATCTCCCTCCCTCCTCCTCCCCCTTCTCCATCTCCTCCTCCCCCTCCTCCTTCTCTTTCTCCTCCTCCTCCTCCTCCTCCTCCTCCTCCTCCTCCTCCTCCTCCTCCTCCTCCTCCTCGGGTCGCCTACGGCCCGGTGGAAACCGTGCGCCCCTCCCCTGGTCGCCCGGGCGCTCCCGCAGGTGCGGCTGTCGCTGGCCTCTATGTTCTGGACGAAGCCGCACCTAATCGCGGTTGGCCACCGGCAGGGCGGAGGAGGGAACGGGATGAGGAGGAGGAGGAAGAGGAGGAGGAGGGAAGTGCTTTGGAACCCCGAATTCTGCTTTTCTGGCTGAGATGCTGGCTTTGGAGTGGGCGCTGGAAGTGTTATTGACCAGGTTCGTGGGTAGAGCGCTGTAGCAATGCGGTGGGCAGGGTGTGTGTCAAACACATTAGCCCAAATCGCAAAAAAGAAAGAAGAGGAGGAGGAGGAGGAGGAAGAGGAGGAGGAGGAGGAAGGGGACGAAGGAGGAACGAAGAGGGAAACGAGGAGGAGGACACAAGGAGCAGGAGAAGGAAAAGGACGAGGAAGCACAGGAGGAGGGACGAGATGGCAGAGGGGGGAAGGAGGTTGGCGTCTGGGGTCGGTCGAAGGCCCAGGTGCCAGGCTGAGGAGGAGGATCAGGGTCAGGATCACAGCTCCAATATAACCCCTCAGCCAGCTTCAGGTAGGACCCGGCTTCGGAGGAACCACAAGACGTGCTCGGGCTCGGGGCGGGTGCGCTTCCAGGGCTTCGCCGAAGGCTACAGCCTCCCCCCCTTGCCCCGACGGCCGCCCCAGGGACGCACCGCCCAGAGCGGGGCCCCGCAGGGACCCGGGAGGTGGGGGAGAGCCAAGAGCCCAGGGACCCCCGGCAGTGGTTCGCACTCGCACCCCTGACCATCTGGCGCCCTTGCCAAGGCATCGCTTGGACGTGTGCATTTTTTTCTCGGCGAGAACCATCGAGGACCATCCTCGACCAACGATCAAAAAAACACGCACGAAACCGAAAAAAACACGGGAAATGGACGTCCGAGCGACGGCGAGTTGCCCAGGCTCTGCGTTTCACCCCCCCGCCCCCTTCCCCCCCCAGCGTTTGGCTGGGGCGGTGGGGCCAGACAGGCTTCCTTCGACAGCGGAGGGACACCCAAGAGAGAGAGAGAGAGAGAGAGACAGAGAGCGACATCAGTGGTTACCGTGCTCGAGTCTCTTCCTAAAGCTGTATGCTACTCTGGCGGCTCTGCAACAGGATCGAGTACCTCGGGTGTCCTTCCCGAATTCCCCGTTTTTCCAAAGCAGCTTTTTTTCACACATCCGAATTCCCTGCTTTTCCCAAAACCGATTCACACATACATAATCGAGGGCCTCAGAAGGCCTGCCTTGCCAGAACTCAGAAGGTGTAGGAGACGCAGTCGGTGGCTTGGGCCTGGAGGGATCAGTATACGAGGAGGGGGCGGTCGGCCGAGGTAGGGGCCGGCCTGGGACTCAAAGTTCTGGGCCTCGGAGCAAGGGTCGAGGAGGTAGGGGTCGGCGCCGTACTCATAGTCCGTATGGGTCGAGGAGGTAGGTGTCCGCACGATGCTCATAGTCTTGGGCCTCGGAGTTGGAGTCGAGGATGTAGGGTGTGGCCTGGTCCTTATACTCCTGGAGGCGCCTGTAGAATGGCATACTCTTGCTTGAAATATGACGTCAGAATTCCCGTGATGGTTTCCCATTTGGTTGCCGCCAGTGTTCGGAGCATCGGTCGGAGACGTGGTAGGTCTGGTACTCGTTCTGATAATTGACTACGGTGTTGGGAAGGTCGAGTCCGACAATGATAACGGATGTATGCACATTTGGTAGTAGACCAAGGTATGGCCATAACGATATAATTGCAGTGAGATCGTTGGGCAGAGAGGTAGAGAGATGGAGAAGTGTAGAGTCAGGGTGATCTAAATTTACACGATGTATGGAGTTCTAGAGAGATCGAGAAAGGGTGATATGCCAGAGTGAACAGATCGGCCCGTACCGAGGCATGGGGGAGACATGTGGAGTGATGGGGTATACGAGCAGATCGAGAGATAGTGAGATGGAGAGGTAGAGGCAGTCACACAGATACGGAGATATCCCGCGGCAGAAGAGCACGTCTGCATATGGACGGAGATGGGCCCCCCAGGCTTTTCGGAGCTCCTGGACGCCCCTGCCGGGCCCGGGCAGCGGGCCCACATCGGTCCAGGAGGGGCCGCCGACGGGCCCCGCGAGCGCCCCAAGAGGGCCCCAGACACCCACCAGACGCCCGAGGACGTTCACTACGGAATCTTCACTCAGAAATCCTTGGTAAGGAATCCTTAGGAAGGAATTTTCATTAAGGAATCCTGGGCTAGGCGTCCTTATTAAGACGAGGACGACCCGAAGGAGACGCCCGAGAGGCGCTCGAAAGGCAGAGAAACACTTCTCGTCCGAGGCTCCTGCGTGAGTTTGGGGATGCCCCGCTCTTCGGCCTCCCGGGCGTCCCAAGACCGCCCAGGAGGCCCGGACATCGCCCCCCGAAAGTGTCGGGGCGGCCGTCTTGGGTCGTCGGAAAGCCGAGAAGAAGCGAATGCCAAAGTCCTTCAAAAATCATGAGGCCGTCTTGGAGGCATCTTGGGCCATCTTCCTTGGGCCTCTTCGGGCCTCCTGGGGGATCTCTTCGGGCCCTCCTGGGGGACCTCTTGCAGGCCTCTTGGGCCGTCTTGGAGGCCTCTGGGGGGCCTCTTGGACAGTCTTGGGCCGTCTTGGACTCTCTTAGGCCGTCTTGGAGGCCGTCTTGGACCATCGTGGGCGGACTTGGAGGCCATCTTGGACCATTTTGGAGGCCATCTTGGAGGCCATCTTGAGCCGTTTTGGAGGATTGTTGTCCGGGATTGAGCTCCTGGGCAATCCTCCCGGGACCCCGGTGGGATGGGCCGACGCCCCGGGGGGAGTTCTGTTGTGAAAAGAACCAAAACCAAAACCGAAATAATTTAGCACGCCAGGCACCCTTGTTGCAAGCAGCAGGGGGCGGCGGATCAAGTGGCTTTCGGCTCATCCGCCACCGTGCCTGGGTTGTGGGTTAGAGGCTTCTTGGATGTTTGTTAGGATATCGTCAAAGGCCGCTCGGGGGTCCCTTGGAGGCTGTTTTGGAGCCTCTTGGGGGCCGTTTGGGAGCCTCTTGGGGCCTCCTTTTGGAACTCCTGGAGGCCTCTTGGACTCTCTTAGGGGCCTCTTGAGGCCTCCTGGGGGCCTCTTGGGGCGTGTTCCCCCTCTTGGGGACGTCTTGGGGCCCTCTTGTGCGATCTTGGGCGCCTTTGGGGCCGTTTTGGGGCCCTCTTAGACCGTCTCGGGGCCCTCCTGGGGGCATCTGGAAACGTCTTGGAGCGGTCTTGGGGCCTCTGGGGCCATCTTGGAGCGACGGAAGTCCGAAAACGCGAGAGCGCGAACAACGTCGGACAACGCAAGGACACTCAATGATGTTTGCCTCTTGGGCCCTCCTGGGGGCACTCTTGGAGCGCTCTTGGGGCTCCGTTGCGGCCTCTTGGGCCGTCATGGGGCCATCTTGGGCGTCTTGGAGCGCTCTTGGGCTGTCTTGGAGGCCTTTTGAACTCTCGTTGGCGCTTTCTGGGGCCCTCTTGGCCCGTCTTGGGGCCCTCTGGCCGCTGGGAAAGCCATGCGAGGCTGTCCAGGAATTTGAAAATTTGGGGCCCCAGCCTTTACAATACTGTGATCCCAGAGTCTTGAGCACATCTAACAGAGTACACATGAGAGCCTGGAGAAAACTCCACTTCGCGCCTCGCGGCACGGTGGCGGATACGATGAAACGTTTACGCTGGGAACGGCGCTGGAGAGGAGGACGGGGTGATGGAGGAGTCGATGAAACGGACACGCTGGGAAGAGCGCTGGGCGGAGGACCAGGGGGATGAGAAGGAGGAGGAATGTGATATAACGGTTTTATACGCGAGGGAAGGGCGCTGGGGGTTGACCAGGGGGAGCACCACGAGGAAACAGATACGCTGAAGAACGGCGCTGGGGACCGAGGTCATTTAGACCGCCGCGCTCGGCGGATAGAAGAGGATCCAGCGCCACGCGACTGAGTTCGGTCGGCTCGCTTTTTCCATTCTCTTTTTGACTTAATGGGGGGCGAGAATTTGAGGGGGAACATTGGAGCCGGTTTCGGCCCCTTTTCTGGGCCCGACCGGGCACCTTTAGGGCCTTAGAGGGCCTCTTTTCGGCAGCCCCCGCTGCCCCCCCCCCCCCCCGATGTCATCATTCCATTCCATGCTCTCCATCGGCTTCTCCCTTGTCGCCGGGGCCGCCGCTAGAGGTGCGGCGCGGGGGCCAAGCTTGAGAAGGAGGAGGAGGATCAAGAGGAGGAGGAGGAGCAGGAAGAGAGTGAGACGGACGTGGAGGATCAGGAGGAGGGGGAGAACGGATGATGATGAGGATGAGGATGAGGATGAAGATGATGATGATGATGATGATGATGATGATGATGATGATGATGATGATGAGGATGAGGATGAGGATGAGGATGAGGATGATGATGATGATGATGATGATGATGATGAGGATGATGAGGATGATGAGGATGATGAGGATGATCATGATGATGATGAGGATGATGATGATGATGCTGATGATGCTGATGCTGCTGTTGATGCTGATGATGCGGATGAGGATGAGGATGAGGATGATGCTGATGCTGATGCTGATGCTGATGCTGCTGATGATGCTGAGGCTGAGGCTGATGCTGATGATGATGATGATGCTGATGATGCTGATGATGATTATGATGAGGATGAGGATGAGGATGCTGATCATAATGCTGATGCCGATGCTGATAATGATGCTGATGCTGCTGCTAATGATGATGAGGATGAGGATGCTGATGATGATGATGATGATGATGTTGTTGATGATGATGATGATGATGATGCTGATGATGCTGATGCTGATGGTGATGCTGATGAGGCTGATGCTGATGCTGATGCCGATGCCGACGATGACCATGATGATGATGCTGATGCTGATGCTGATGCTGATGCTGATGCTGGTGGTGGTGGTGGTGATGATGATGATGATGATGATGATGATGATGATTATGATATGGTGATGATGGTGATGAGGAGGAGGACGAGGAAGAGGAAGAGGAGGAGGAGGGGGGGTAGGAGAAGGGGAAGGATGAACCGGATATGTTGGGAACGGCGTTTCGGGAGAGGATGAGGGGGGCGAGGAAGGTCAGGAGGAGGAGTAGTAGGAGGAGGAGGAGGAGAAGGGGTGGGATAAGAGGGACGAGGAAGGTCAGCGGACGTGAATCTTCTCCGTTCACTTCGAACGGTTAAGAGGCAGGCGGGGGGAGGATCACAGTGGACACGTAGAGCAGTGAAACGTACGAACTTTACGATACAATGTCTATGTTGTTCTGATGTGTCGTATCTAAATTTACGTGTTTAGTTTCGGTACGGTGGTTCCTTTTTCGAGTGTGGCGTTTCGCAGACAGCGTTTGTTTTGGCTGTTCCTATTTTCCGCTCCTCTGCGCTTTGTATTACATTTCTATTTTTCACTCGTTGCGCCTTCTTTCGTGAGCCCCTGCGGATAACAACAACAAGCACATTGTGTTCACATGGGGGTAGAACGGGGAAGAGGAGGAGGAGGAGTTGGAGGAGGAGGAGGAGGAGGAGGAGGAGGAGGAGGAATGAGAAGGAGGAGGAAGAATGAAGAGGGAGAAGCAGGGAAGGGAGGAGGCGGAGGAGGAGGAGGAGGAGGAGGAGGGAGGAGGGGGGAGCATGACGAGGAGGAGGAGGAGGAGGAGGAGGAGGTGGAGGAGGAGGAGGAGGTGGGAGGAGGAGGAGGAGGGGAGGGAAGGGAGGAGGGAGGGGAAGATGGGTAGGGAGAGGAGGAGGGGAGGAGGGGCTGGGGACGAGAAAGGGAGAGGAGGGATGAGGGGCGGGGCGGAGGGAGGGAGCCCAGGGCGGCAGGTCGACGAGCCGACCAATTATCTCGACGTGGAGACCGTCGAGGCGCTCGCCAAGGCGCTCACGACGTTCCGCGGAGGCGCGCGCGTTCGCCGCCGGGGGAGGCCAGGGGAGGGAGGGAGGGAGGAGGGAGAGGGGGAGGAAGGAGGAGGGAGGAAGAAGGAAAAGACGAAGAGGAGGGAGAAGGAAGAGAGCTAGGGAGGGAGGAGGAGGTTGGGGAGTTCGAGGGGACGAATACGAGGAGGAGGATCAGGAGGCAGGAGCGAGCAGGAGGAGCAGGAGGAGGCAGGAACGAGAAGGAGGAGAGAGAGGATGCGGCGTTAAGCAGCAGGAGGGAGAGGTGGGAGGAGGGAGATGTTGGCGCTGGAGGTGGAGGTAAATCAGCAGAAGAAGAGGTAAGGGGAACCTGGCAGCCGACGTTGTTGCCCCTGCCGTCCGGGAAGCCCAGTGACACAGAAGCTTTGCCGCTGGCTGCGCCCTCACCCACTTCTTTGTCTTTCTCCTCCTCCTGGTTCCTCCTCATCATCCTCATCCACCTCCTCTCACTTCCTTCTCCTCCTCCTCCTCCTCCTCCTCCTCGTCCTCCTCTTCCTCCTCCTCCTCATCCTCCTCATCCTTCTCTCACTTTCTTCATTCTGTCGTGGCGTGCTGTTGGAGGATGAGGAGTTGGCATTCGCCTCGCTGCTTCCGGGCTGCTGCCACCCTCGCGCTGCCTCCTCTTGTGCACCATCGGCCGCCGCTCAGTCCTGGCCCTGCAGCCGCCGTGGCCTGTGTCTGCCAGGGACGCGCTTGAGAAGCTCCCCCGGGGCCCGAGGGCTGCCATAGGTGATGCTCCTCGCCCCTCGCGCCCCATCCTCCTCCCTCCCCGTTCACCCTTCTCCTCTCCCTCCCCCTCCTGCTTCTCCTCCCCCTCCGTCCTCCTCCGCCTTCTCCTCCGCCCCCCTCCTCCGTCCCCTTCCTCCTCCGTCGCCCTCCGTCCTCCTCCTCCTTCTCCTCCTCCTCCTCCTCCTCATCCTCTGTCCTCCGTCTTCCGTCCTCCTCCTCCTCCTCTTTTTCCTCGTCCTCCTCCTCATTCTCCCCGTCCTCCCTCCTCCTCCTCCTCCTCCTCCTCCTCCTCCTCCTCCTCCTCCTCCTCCACCTCCTCCTGCTCCCCCTCCTCTCCTCCTCTCCACCTCCTCCTCCTCCTCCTCTCCTCCTCCTCCTCCTCCTCCTCCTCCTCCTCCTCCGGCCTCCGCCGTAGCCGTTTTGGCTCAACCGAGCCGGCTTTCGGGAGGCCCTCGCGCTGCTTGCCCGGGCGCGCTCGGGCGCGCAAGTGGCCATGTCGGGCGGCGGCGGCAGCGGCGGCGGCCGGGCTTGGGCGGCCGCGAGCGCGCGGTCCCTCGCCAGGCGCTTCCGCAGGGAACGCCGCGAGGAGATGGACTTCTCTCGCGCCGAAGCCCTGGCGCGGCGGGCGCAGGCGCCTCGCGTGGCGCTGGACGCGCACTGGCGCATCGGAGACATGCTCGGCTGCCACTGCCCTTCCTTCGGCGAAGGGCTGGCGGCCGCCCGTCTCCTAGGCTGCCCAGGTGCGGTGGTGAAGCAGGCGGGGGAGGCGCAGGCGCTGGGCAACCAGGCGAGGCACGCGCCGCCGCCAGGGGCGGCTGGCGGGGCCCTGCCGCGGGCGGTCTGGTCGGCGTTAAGGCCAGCGACTTCGAGGCCCAGCTGAAGGCGTTGGCCTTCCCACTGCGGGGCGAGGCCGCGCCTTTCGAGCCCGCCAGCCGCGACGCGGTCGACGCCCTGCTGGAGCAGCTGGGCGGGGGTGACCGCGTGCGGGCGGACGGGTACAAGGCTGACTTCCAGAAGCACTCGTTGAAGGACAAGGTGGAGGAGGAACCGAAGGTCGTCGCAGAGTGCTGCCACGACGATAGGTCGGCGAAGGTGGCGCCGCTGCAGAAGCAGGTGTCCGACATCTGCGTGGCGGCGGCGTCCAAGGTGGTGGAGTGCCAGCTGTGGGTCGAGTCCTCTCTCGACCTCCTTGGTGCTCGGCGCGGGCGGGCGGTGCAGCCGCTCGTGCAGAGGAGGGCGCCGATGCTCTCCGTCGGCGTGGAGAACTTCGACAAGGAGGGGTCGGGCTCGGAGTCGGGCGATTCCGAGACGGTGGAGGCGGAGGTGTCGGAGGATGAGAATGTCTTCAACATGGCGTTCTGGGAAGGCGTGGATATGGCGGAGGTCGTCCAGCACATCGAGGCCGCGCGCTTCGACCTCTTCCTCATGGGCGACTTTTTCGAGTCGCAGAGGTCCCAGCAGTCCTACTACTTGGGCGGCGTGAAGATCCACCGCGTGGGCGGTGGTGGAGGCCTGACGGCTACGGCAAGCAGGTCGCGTTCGACCTCACGGTCGGGGGCCCTGATCCCGCCGCTGCAGGCGCAGGGCCCCCGTGGTCAGGGGTCTTAAGCTCGCCGCTTAAGGCGCAGGACCCCCGCGCCCGCGCGGGCGCTCGCGCGCGCGCCCGCCCCTGGCAGCCAGTTGCCGATTCGTCCAATCTGGTCTTCCTGGGGCCGCGCGCGCGCGGCGCGCGGGCGACCGGGGGCCGCGTGGCTCGACTCGCGCCCCAGGTGCGCGGTCATCCTCCGTCCTCCTCCTACCTCCTCCGTCCACCTCCGCCTCCTCCGTCTTGTCCTCTTTTCTCCTCCTATTGGGGCCTCGCACCAACCCCCGCCCCCAGCCTCCTGACTTGGTGATCCAGGAGGTCCTGGCCGAGGGTGAGGGTGGCTTCTACCCCCGGAAGCCCCCCCGCCCACGGCCAGGACCCCCTGGACCACCGGGTCGGAAGTGAAGGTCCTGGTAGGGGGCGGACGTGGGTCGTGCTGTCTTCAGCGCGCTCTTCTTCCTCTCTCCTCCTCCATCGCCTCCGTCCTCCTCCTTCTCCTCCCTGCTCCACCCCTTCCTGTTCTTCTCTCTTCCTCCTTCTCCTCCCTGAGCGGCCCCATGCTCGTCCAGCTTTTCTTCCTTCCTCATCCAGGTGCGGCGGCGGCTCTGGAGCATCGCTTCGCACGGCGCGCGCGCAGTTCCACGCCCTTACACCTCCCTTGTCTGAGGGGCTGCACGAAGTATCCTTGCCACAAGGGGCATCGCGCATCGCGCCGCATCGCCGGTGCATCGGCGACGCGGCTCGCTGTGGAGACCAATTTCTGTCCACGGCGACGGTTCCGATGCATAGCCGATGCGACGCGTTTTTTCCAAATCCCATCCAGGAGGCCCCCGTCGACGCGCTAACGGTGCGTTAGCTAGCGGCGAATTAGAACATCCAATTGTGGGAAGGCGTGGTTCGTCGCGAAACGTGGTTTGCGTTTTCCTACAATTCGCTGTGTCGTTTTCGCCCGATACATTTACATTCGCACTTTTGAAATGTAGGAAACGGTGTGGTTCGTGATTTCATCAATTTTGTTCCGCGCGAGCTCGTTGTCGCAAAAATCGGATGCCTAACATCGCCGTTAACCAACATCGCCGTTGGCGCGGCTTCGGGGCTTCCGGGGAGAGGTCCAGGGAGTGGTGTCCTCGGTGCCGTGTTGCGATTCCCCACACCGGTCGGTGCCGAGACGGCCTGGGCCAGGCTGGCTGCGGCCTGGCCTCCTGCTCCGACTCGTGTTTCTCTCTCCTCGTTGTGTGCGGTGTTTCGTTTTGTTTCGCGCCACCGATCTACTGCATGTCTCGTCCTCTTTAGCTTGTCTTATAATTCTTGCTGTTTTCATTTATGTTATTGTTCTTGTAACTATTTATTTCATTCGTGGCATCTGGACAAATATGCAAACATACGACTTGATAATCGACCCGAGCCGGTTCGACGCGAGCATGTTCGGGGCCCCGCCTCCGCGCGCGGGCCGCCAAGAATGCATCAATGGTGCCTGCGTGGACACTTTGGGCCACCTGAAGATCCTCAACGGGACATGCGCGAACGCGATGGGCAACCAGGAATTCCTCGCGAGGGCCCTCATTGTCAACCTGAGCTACCTGGGCTGTATCAAACACCCCCAAATATATAGGAAAGTAGGATGCCCTCGGAAGGCGTTCCTGGAGATCTTCGCGGGGACGGCGAACCTCAGTGGTGCTTTGCATGAGCGCGGGTTTCGGATCCCGCTTCCGATGGACTTCAAGCATGGGCCCCACTGTGACCGCGCGAACCGTCTAGTCCAGCGTCTGGTTGAACATTGGCTCAAATCCAGCGAGGTCAGGTGGGTCCACTTTGGCTTGCAGTCCACAAGGTGGGTCCCCGTCGGGGGCGATCGTGAGCCGTCGCCCGCGGACTGCACGCTGGTCGCCTTCGCGGTCCGTGTCCGTCGGCTGTGCCGGGCCGCGGGCGTCGTCGTCATTTTCGAACCCGCTTGCGAGCCGTGTCTAGAGGTGGCCAGCTCTGGAGCAGGAGCTGCGACGCCTCGCCTGGCCGGAAGTGCTGTTCGACTCGTTTAGGTTTGGTGCGCCCTTCAAGAAGCCGGGCACGATCGCGGGGGTGCCTCCCCGCGTTGAACGGGCTGTCACTTAGCCGCCGCTGAGGCTGCCGCTGCAGAGTGTAGCTGCAAGGCAAGGTCAGGCACCCGACGCGAGGCCGGGCGCGGCGCGCGACGTTGGCGGGGGCCTACCTGCCCAGTTGGTGCCGCGCTCTGGTCTCGCAGGCTGGCCTTGGCGCCCCTCGAGGCGCGTGCGGGCGGTCGGCGCGGGATGACCTCCAGGCTCGGGCTCGCGCGCTGGCGAGCGCGGCGAGAGTCAGCGAGCCCCGTGGGGCCGCGGCGGCCATCTGCCCACGGCGCTTTCGGCTCCCTTTTGGAGACCAACCAGGCTGGGCCGCTCGACCCGCGCCCGCGCGGGCGCTCACGCTGCCCGCGCGTGGGCCGCGGCGCCGGGCGGCGCGGCTGCGAGCCGGCGGCGGGCCGCCCGTGGTGACTGCCTGTGGCTGGCCGCCCGAAGGCTGGCCACGGTCGACAGCTACACGTCCGCCGTGATCGAGCTGACCGCAGGCGCTCAGCGACGCGACCGGCTGCCGACCGCTCGCACCGTGGCCTGCGACGCGCTCGGTTGGTGCTTCTTTGCGGGGGAGCCCCAGCACCTGTTTCGCGGCGCGCGGCGCGGCCTGCGCGAGTTCGTGGGTGGTCCGCGGGGCGGCCTCGGCTTCAAACCCGAGCGCGTCGTCGGCCCCCGCGCCTCTGGCTGCGCAGCGGACGCCACTGCTGCCGCGGCGCTGCTGGGGGAGGACAAGCACTGCTAAGAGCGCAGACTCCGACCGCACTGCGAAGGCAGGCGCCGCCCTGCCCGCCCGCCGCGCGCGGCCCCCGGGATCCTGCCCAGGCGTCGGGCCCCCGCGCGTGGCGCCGGGGGCTGCCCAGTCTTTTCCATCCCCTTACGTTGCCGCTGTTTGAAAAGACCTTGAGGTTGCTGCCCCGTCGGCAAGGGTTGGTGATATCTCCTGTCCACTCGTGCACCAGCATCTCCCACGGGGGCCGCCGCATGATGCCTTGCGCCGAGCCGGGTCCATCAGAGCTATGCAGCGGAGGGGGCGCTGGCGCGCGCGCGAGAGAATGTGTGGAAACATGTGAAAGCACGGCTTCGCTTGTTGTCCGACATCTAACATCACGAATGTCAGATATCATTGGCGACCCGTTTCGATGTCGGTGCCATCCGTGACACCTTTGAATGCGCGTGTGCCCCCTAGTCCCTAGTCTTGTCTCTCCTGGCCCACCTCTGTACTCTCGGCGCCTGAAAGCTTTCGATCCACCCGCCCGCCCAATGGCATGTGGGGATGGGGGTAAGACGCAGGTGTTCTGTGTGTGTGGCAGTTTTGAAAGTTGTGATTGCACTTGTGCCGGCGTTGGCCGTCAAAGCAAATGAGAAATATCCGTGATGCCACGGCGCTTGCTTGATGTCAACAGGGCGCGCATGGCGCCAGGTCACCCGTCCCACGTTGTTTATATGTGCGTTGTAGTTGTTCCCACGGACCCCTTGGGGAGGCCACGCTATCAGGGTAGGAACGATTTGTCCCTGATTCGTTTTTTCCTGTGTACGAGTGGCCTCGGGAGTTTCTAAGCAGAGGAACCGCGTCACACTTGCCCGTTCTCCTGGTGTTGCTTTTGCTCCGCGCCGAAACCACTTCTGCTGAAGTTCCTGCCCGCCTTCCCCCCCACACACCGCAATGTTCAGCGTGTGTATGCGTGTGTGTATGTGTGGCAGTTTTGAAGGTTGTGATTGCATTTCTGCCGGCGTTGACCGGCTAAACAATTGAGAAACATCCGTGATGCCACGGCGCTTGCCTGATGTCAAAAGGGTATGCGTCGTTCCATGTCAGACGCCCCACGTTTTGTATGTGCGCTGTCGCTGTTTCCGCGGACCCCATTTGGAGGCCACGTTATCAGGGTCGAAAGCATTGTTGATGTCCTCCTCATCATCTTCATTATTTCATCCACCTCGCGCCCCCCGAGAGGTATTTTGATGATCGAGCCCAAGACTGATTTCGTAGAGCGGATATGTAACGAGAAGTGGCACATGGAGGAACCGACCATCGTCAGCGGGCGGAAACGATGCCTCCTCCTCAGACCCCCTCCTCCCCGTCTCGTCCTCCCTCGTCGTCGTTCTTCGCACAGGTTGAAGGATAGGAGAGTCGGGTATGATGTGGGAGTGGGACGGTGGCAGACGGAATGCGAGGGAGGTAGGGAGGGAGACGGGCGAATTACAATTAGCGCGGGAGAGGAGCGGGCAGTGGACAGGAGAGGTGGGAGCAATGTGAGGACTGGCAGGGGACGGGGAAGACATGATGAGGAGGACGGCCAGAGAAATCCCAGGATGCATCAGCGATGATGCAAAACACCCCACAGTCCCAAGGCTTCCTCCCCATGATGTCGTACAAGCGTTCCCTCTCATTGGGGGAAGCGCTTCCTTGAAAGAACAGCGATCCAGTTGTACTCCTTTCAGGCGATAGCCTGAAATTGTGAAGGGAACACCTGCGTATTCATAGTTTAGGACGTGCCAAGATGTACGATGCAACAGTTCAAGGAAGTGGCCAGCTAGAACCCCGTTTGGATAGGGGTGCCCTCAGATCCGCCCGAACATTGATAAACCTTCTAGTCTGAGATTGTGAAGGGGGCCTGTGGACCCCAGGGGACGCTTACCATCATCGGGAGGCTCGTTTGATAGTCGCCGTTTGCAGGCATAGCCAATGTGTCTGTGCATGCTCTCGGAGAAGCTCGTCAGTTGTCCGCAGGATGACGGCGGTTTTGATTTTGTCTTTGGTTTTCACTGTGGAAACCCTTCCCTCACGTGCACATGGTACATCGAGGGAACGGTGGGACCTGCTCCGAGACTACAGGCCCTCATAGCCCCCACACCGGCCAAGTTGTGGCGCCCTTGGTTCTATGCAGGTTCCGTATGGGCTCTCTCCTGGAATTTGTGCACGGTGGGGTCACACCTGGATACCAGCACCGTGCATTGGCCGCTTGACGAGGCAGCTGCAACAACGAACAGTAAGTGTCGCTTACCCTTCTGGGGGATACAGAGGACGCTGATTGTGAGGGTGTCTCATGCGATAAGTTATCTCATTCTCTTCCACGGGGTGTCTAGAGTTCGACCACTTTATTCCGCGTCGCACCCCCCCCCCCCCGCGTCCCCAGCGCCAGAGTGGGACCCCCGCGCCGTGGCTGTCTGCCCCGAGGCCCCCCCGCGTCCCCAGCGCCCCAGCGGGGGCCCCGCCCACTGCCCCCTCCGCCACGAACGCTGTATTCCGCGTCGCGACGCACATCACCTCCCCCACCTCCCTCCCCGCGTCCCCAGCGCCCCAGTCGGACCCCCGCCCTGTGGCCCTCTGCCCAAGCCCCGCCCTTTGCCCCCTCCGCCCCGATCATTTTATCCCGCGTCGCGACGCACACCACCTCCCCCCCCTCCTCTCCGCGCCCCCAGCGCCCCAGTGGGACCTCCCCCCGTGCCCCCTCCGCTCCGAGCACTTTATTCCGTGTGGCGACGCACGCCACCTCCCCCCCCCTCCCCACTTGGGATTTGGGCCCCGTTGCTGGGCCCCGAGAGGCGATGTCTTGCCCCATCTTCCTCTCTCCTCCTCCGCCTCCTCCTCCTCCCCCTTCATTTTCGTGCAAGAGCCATGGCACACGTGCCACTTGTTAGGGACAAGGACAGATGTCATTAGGAAATAGAACAGACGAATGTGTGCTACGCTAAGGTGGACCCCATATGTCGCGTCCCATCCGCTCAACGTATGTAAGGTTCAGTGTTTGGGTCATCAACTGGAAGTATCCAGCAACATATCTGGAGCCTCCGGAGCGTCCTACAAGTGCAAGTGGTGGTGCGACGGGGAGGAGTCGTCGATAAGGGAGACGGGTATATTCTTTGGATCGGGCCACCTGTTTTTGCGGAGGCTTCATGCCCTATCTTGGAGGTTAGCGGCTACGGGGACGATTTGCAGCCGTTCTGGGGCCGTTTTGAGGGTCAGTCGGCCCCCCCCGGGGCAGCCGACTGACGGTGACGGAAATGTGACCGCCGTGTCTTCAGACCGCACCGCGGCCAACCCAGGTCATTTGAACCAGTCGCCAACCCGGGTTCTTTCGATCAGTCGCACGCAACGTATGCCGAGAGTCGAGGATGTATCGAAGATGTTGCGTCGAGCGAAGGAACCAGGTTTTGGAAGGCAGGGGAGGCGGGAGCAAGAGCATGCGCAGCATGCAGGAAAAGGGGGAAGTGGAGGCCTGGGGAAGGAGCAGAAGCCAGGACCCGAAGAAGGGGGAGCAGGGGGATGCCGGAGAAGGAGAAGGAGCAGGAACGTTTGTTATGGTCGTGCTCCCCTTCCTTTTTCGCAGGCTGTTTGCTCAGTTACTCTATGCTTACGCGGGCACCTCGGTGTCTTCCATTCCTTTATGCCCCTGCACTTGTTAGCAGTTTGATTTGTTGGCCACCGCTCCTCAGTCGGTCTACTGCCGAGCTTTTTTTGAACACCATCTTGACGCCAAGATTTCAGTCGATCTCAGTTTGCTAACCGTCAAAAGAGTCAGGGGGGAAAACACACACACACACATTGACACAAATAATCGTCGATTCCCCGGAAAATATGGGGCACCATGGGAACGGGGGGAAGACGAATATCAAGAATTCTAGACGCTTCGCGTATCCCCACCAGCCCGTCCAGAAACGACGCCCAGGCGAGTAGAGGGTCGTCCTGAGGGGCTTTTCGGCGTCTTGGGTGCCTCGGGGGGGCCTCTTTGGGCCGTTTGGGATCCTCTTGGGGGCCTCCTGGGGGCCTCTTGGGGCCATCTTGGGGCCATCTTGGGGCCTCTTGGTGCCTCCTGGGCGCGCGCTTCTTGGGGCCATCTTGGAGGAAATCGATCCAAGAAGAGGGGAGCTTCAATTAGTGCTGCCCCCTCTGGGGGCCAAAATGGGGCCAAAACCTTGGTAAAATCAGTGATTTTGGCTTCCTCGGCGAGGCCGTTTTGGACGCTCTGACCGCTCCCCGCCCCCCCTGTCCAGGTCAGTGGGGAGGGGGTAGGGGGAGGGGTAAACCCCTCCCCGAAGGGGAAGAAGGAGGGGTGGAAGAGGAAACGCTCTAAACCACCGACGCCCGGAGGGCTGGTGGGATTTGTGAAACAGTATGAAGAATTCTGGGATTTGTGTGTATTTGGGCCTCTTCAAAGAAGGAGGAACGGCAGGAGGAGGGACAGGGGGAACGAGGGCGGAGGAGAGCGAGGAAGAGCGGCAGGAGCAGAGGCGGGATACGCCAGAGGAGGGGGGGAAGAGCAGGACGAGGGGGGGTTGCGACGACGGCGGCGAGGCGTTAGGAGGAGGGCGCGGAGGAAGAGGAGCAGGAGGGAGAGGAGGGAAAGGAGGAGGAGGAGGAGGAGGAGGAGGAGGAGGAGGAGGAGGAGAGCGGGGCCCTCCCGATTGGCCCAACGCCCCCAGGGGGCGCCAGGAGGGTGGCTGTGGCGGAGGTGAGGAGGAGGAGGAGGAGGAGGAGGAGGAGGAGGAGGAGGAGGAGGAGGAGGAGGAGGAACGCCGGCAGGACCGGCCCATCCGTAGCCATTTTGGCTCAAGCTGTTTCCGATGCCGAACGAATTTTGCTTTGCACATTCTTTCGCATATTGGAATCTTGAGTGGCACGGAGTACCGCGTTCCGTATACATCCATGTCCGGGCCCGTGACGGAAGGCGAAGCTGTTGCTTGCAACCTCTTGGGAGCCATCGTGCGGGCGGGAGCGAGCCGCCATGTCGTGGCAGCGACCGCAGCCGCTTTTTGGCGTCTCATCCTGAGCTGCGAGGCGGCCGACACAGCCACGCTCGACACCAGCGACTCCGATATCAAGGCGGAGGTCGACGCTCGGTTCGACATGGCCCGTCCTGCTCTGGAAGGCCTCGTTCGAGCTGGGCGGCAAGGGGCGCGAGCAAACCTCGACGGGTCCACCAAGGTTTTCCGCAACTGTGCCTTGCACAATAGCCTTGGAGCTGGCGAGGGAGCTCTGCCAAAGTCTGGCAGAGAAGCGAAGCAGAAGCAGAAGAGGCGTGGCAGGGCCGCTCCAGATGGCTCGCAGCCTGCTTCCACGCCTGTTTCGGCGCCCGGTATTACATCGGCTTCAACATCTTCACCTGAGAACGACCCGTCTGCCTCTGACCATGGTTGTCCAGCGGAGGAGCTTGATGAGCAAGATGAGCAGTGTGAAGCGGTTCCTCCGAACCCCAACGAATCTGCTACGCAGACGGATGCCCTGTGCTACGAGTGCGGCCTCACCTCGCCTTTGGGCCAATGGGCCTACGCGGCCGTGCTGGCAGACGAATTGGCGCACTCTGCAGGGGTCATTTCTCGCACCACTGCACCCGCGGAGACCTCCCACACAGAGTTGTTCGACTTGGCTGCTGACGACAAGTCGGACCAGAGCGCCGACGAAGCGCAGAACGGCTCCTTCAGCAGCATGGAGGAGACCGCGGCTGACGCGGCGCTGTGGGCCAAGTAGTACACAGACAGATTGTGGGAGACAGGCTTTTTGGCGGAGCAGTAGCTTCTCTCCAGCACCTGGACGCCTCCTCGCCTGAGGTGGAGAAGGCTGCGCACGACCTAGTTGCGAAGCTGGCGATCGCAAGCGGCCACGCCATCGACTGGGAGAAGTTCTGCGAGAACTACCCGGCGGTTTAGGCCTTACGGGCTCTCTCCGCAGTGGGCAGGTAGCAGCGCCTCCCACCCCGAGCCTCTAAACAGCGAAATGTAAGGTCGTGCTTTAGCTGTTGAGGGTCTCCGACCTCCCCCTCCTCCCCCTCCTCAGGAATGTAAGAACAGGCTTGCTCTTGACAGCCTGTCGATTTCTTCGATGGGGTGGATATGGGAAGGGGATGGGGTGAGACGACTACGACGACGGCGACGACGTGCCGAGGCGGCGCCCGCTCTCGCCAGCCGTTCGCCACAACAGGGCCTCTGCTCGCCAGCTCCTCGGCCGGGGCCGACAGGCTGCCGAAGCTGTGCGCTGCAGAGC